ATATACAATGGAATATTACTCAGCCATAAAAAGAAACGAAATTGAGCTATTTGTAATGAGGTGGATAGACCTAGAGTCTGTCATACAGAGTGAAGTAAGTCAGAAAGAGAAAGACAAATACTGTATGCTAACACAGATATATGGAATTTAAGGGAAAAAAATGTCATGAAGAACCTAGGGGTAAGACAGGAATAAAGACACAGACCTATTGGAGAACGGACTAGAGGATATGGGGAGGGGGAAGGGTGAGCTGTGACAAAGTGAGAGAGAGGCATGGACATATATACACTACCAAACGTAAGGTAGATAGCTAGTGGGAAGCAGCCACATAGCACAGGGAGATCAGCTCGGTGCTTTGTGACCGCCTGGAGGGGTGGGAGGCAGGGAGATGCAAGAGGGAAGAAATATGGGAACATGTGTATATATATTTTTGTTGTAAAGCAGAAACCAACACCATTGTAAAGCAATTATACTCCAATAAAGGTGTTAAAAAAATAAAATAAGACATCAGGAGTAAAAAATGTAGATCTTTTAGAATGTGTCTGAACTTAAATGATTATCAGTTTAAAGCAAGTATATATAATTATGGGTCAACATATATGAACTCCATGGTAATCACAAATCAAAAGCCTAACACAAAAACCAAAAAGAAAGGAACTCAAGTATACTATAAAGAAATGCATCAAGCCACAATGGGAGAGACAAAAAGAAGAAGAAATGGACAAAGAAGAACTACAAAAACAACTGGAAAACAAGGAATAAAATGACAATAAGTACATACCAATCAGTAATTACCTTAAATGTCAGTGGACTAAATACTCCCATCAAAAGATAAGGGGTGGCTTACTGGATAAAAAAGCAAGACCCTTCAATATGCTGCCTACAAGAGACTCACTTCAGGGCAAAAGTCACATTCAGAGTGAAAGTGAGGGGATGGAAAAAAACTTCATTCACATGGAAACGACAAGATAGCAGGGGGAGCAATACTCATATTAGACAAAATAGACTAAAACAAAGGCTAAAACAAAGACAAAGAAGGGCATTATATAATGATAAAGGAATCAATACAAGAAGAGGATATTACACTCATTAACATATACACCCAATACAGGAGCACCTAAATACATAAAGCAGATACTAAAAGACATAAAGGGAGAAATTGACAATAATACAATAATAGTGGGGTACTTTAACACCCTACTTACAACAATGGACAGATCATGCAGATAGAAAATCAGTAAGGCAGTAGAGGTCCTAAATGACACAGCAGACCAGTTGGACTTAATTGATATCTGTAGGACACTACAGCCAAAAAAAGCGGAATACACATTCTTTTAAAGTGCCTATGGAACATTCTCTAGGATAGATCACATACTAGGTCACAAAACAAGCCTCAGCAAACTTAAGAGGATAGTAATTATATCAAGCATTTTTCCTGACCACAATAGTATGAAACTAGAAATCAACTACAGAAAGAAAAATGAGAGAACAACAAACATGTGGAGACTAAACAATATGCTACTAAAAAACCAATGGGTCAATGATGAACTCAAAGAGGAAATCAGAAAATACCTCAAGACCAATTGAAAATGAAAACACATTTTTCCAAAATCTCTGGGATGCAGCAAAAGCAGTTCTAAGAGGAAAGTTCATAGTGATACAGACCTTCCTCAGAGAATAAGAAAAATCTCAAACAACCTAACATACCACCTAAGGGAATTAGAAAAAGAAGAACAAAGCCCAAAGTCAGCAGAAGGAAGGAAATAATAAAGATTGGAGAGGAAATAAAAGAGATTAAAAGAAAAAGCAGAAAAGATCAATGAAACCAAGAGCCGGTTTTTTGAAAAGAGAAATAAAATTGATAAGCCTTTAGCCAGGCTCACCAAGAAGAAAAGAGTGGACCCAAATAAACAAAATAAGAAATGAAAGGAGAAATAACAACTGATACCACAGAGATACAGAAAATCCTAAGAGAATACTATGAACATTTATATGCTAACAAATTGGACAATGTAGAAGAAATGGACAAATTTCTAGAAACATATAGCCTACCAAGACTGAGTCAAGGAGAAACAGGCAATTTTAACAGACTGATCACTAGAAGTGAAGTGAAATTGAATCTTCAAACCAAACCAAACCAAACAAACAAAACTCTCAGCAAACAAAAGTCCAGGACCAGACAGCTTCACAAAGGAATTCTAGCAAACATATAAAGAACTTATACCTATCCTTCTTAAACTATTTCAAAAAATTGACAAGGAGGGAACACTCCCAAATTCATTCTAGGAGGTCACTATTACCCTGATATCAAAACCAGACAACACTACAAAAAAAAAAACTACAGGCCAATATTTTTTATATAAATGCAAAAATCCTCAACAAAATATTAGCAAACTAAATCCAACAATACATAAAAAGGATCATACACCATGATAAACTGAATTTATTCCAGGACGCAAGGATGGGTCAACATATGCAAATCAATCAGTGATACACCGCATTAACGAAAGGAAAGACAAAAGAAACCACATGATCATCTCAACAGACACAGGAAAAGCACTTGACAAGATTCAACATCCATTCATGATAAAAACTCTCATCAAAGTGGGTGGGTATAGAGGGAACATATTTCAACATCATAAAGGTCATTTGTGACAAACCCACAGCCAGTATAATACTCAATGGTGAAAAGCTGAAAGCCTTTCTGCTAAATTCAGGAACAAGACAAAGATGTCCACTCTCACCACTTTGATTTAAAATAGCATTGGAAGTCCTAGCCACATCAGACAAAAAAAAAAGAAATAAAAGGTATCCAAATTGAAAGGGAAGAGGTAAAATTGTCACTATTTGCAGATGACATGATATTATATAGAAAACCCTAAAGTCTCCCCACAAAAACTTACAACTACTAAATGAATTCAGCAAGGTGGAAGTATGCAAGATTAATATATAGAAATAGGTTGTGTTTCTGTAACACTGATGATGAAATATTAGAAAGAGAAAAGTTTTAGAAATCCCATTTAAAATGTCAGAAAAATAAAATACCTAGGAATAAACTTAACCAAGGAGGTGAAAGACCTATACTCGTGAAAGACCTATACTCTATAGAACACTGATGATGGAAATTGAAGGTGATTCAAACAAATGGAAAGATATCCCATGCTCTTGGATTGGAAGACTAAATATTAAAATGGCCATACTGCCCAAAGCAATCTACGGATTTAATACCATCCCTGTAAAAATACCCATGATATTTTTCACAGAACTAAAACAAATAATCCTAAAATTTATATGGAACCACAATAGACCCTGAATTGCCAAAGCAATCCTGAGGAAAAAGAACAAATTTGGAGGTCTGACCCTCCTGGACTTCAGACTATACTACAAAGCCACAGTAATCAAAACAGCATGGTATCAGCACAAAAACAAACAGATCAGTGGAACAGAATACAGGGCCCAGAAATAAACTCATGCACCTATGGTAAATTAATCTACAACAAAGGAGGTAAGAATATACAGTATAATGGAGAAAAGACAGTGTCTTCAACAAGTGATGCTGATAAAACTGGTCAGCTACATGTAAAACAATGAGAACATTCCCTCCCATCATATACAAAAATAAACTCAAAATGGCTTAGAGACCTAAATGTAAGACTGGAAACCATAAAGTTCCTAGGAGAGAACATAGGGGGAACACTCTTTAACATCAATCATAGCAATATTTTTTCTTGGGTCAGTCTCCTAAGGCAAAAGGAATAAAAGCACAAATAAACAAATGGGACCTAATTAAACTTAAAAGCTTTTGCACCATAAAGGAAACCATCGAAAAAATGAAAAGACAACCTACATAATGGGAGAAAATATTTGCAAATGATGCAATCAACAAGGGGTTAATGTCCAGAATATACAAACAGCTCATACAATTTAACATAAAAGAAAAAGCCTAATTAAAAAATGGGTAGACGATCTGAATAGATATTTTACCAGAGAAGACTTACAGATGGCCAACAGGCACATGAAAAGGTGCTCAACATCGCTAATTATTAGAAAATGCAAATCAAAACCACAATGAGGTATCACTTCACGCCTGTTAGAATAGCTATCATCAAAAAGTCTACAAATAATGCTGGAAAGGATGTAGAAAAAAGGGAACCCTTGTACACTGCTGGTGGGAATGTAAATTGGTGCAACCACTATGGAAAACAGTATGGAGGTTCCTTAAAAAACTAACAATAGAACTACCATATGATCTAGCAATTCCACTCCTGGGTATATATCCACAAAAAACTACAACACCAATTTGGAAAGATACATGCACCTTGGTGTTCAAAACAGCACTATTTACAATAGCCAAGACAGGGAAGCAACCCAAGTGCCCATCAACAGATGATTGGATTAATATGTGATACACACACACACACACACACAAACACACACACACACACACACACACTGGAATATTACTCAGCCATAAAAAAGAATGAAATATTACAATTTACAGCAACGTGGATGGATCTAGAGAAAATTATGCTAACTGAAATAAGTCAGAGGAAGAAAAACAAATACTATATATCAGTTACATGTGGAATCTAAAAATAATACAAATGCTTGTATATGCAAAACAGAAACAGACTCACAGATATAGAAAATAAACTTGTAGTTACCAAAGGGGAGAGGGACAAATCAGGGGTATGGGATTAACAGATACAAATTACTATGTATAAAATAGACAAACAAGAATATCCTGTATAGCACAGGGAATTATATCCATTATCTTGTAATAACCTATAAGAGAATATTATCTGCAGAAATACTGAATCACCATGCTATACACCTGAAATTAACACAATACTATAAATCAACTATACTTCAATTTTAAGAAAGAAAAAAGTAAAAAGTGTTGGACCGATTCTGTTCCTTAATTTCAGGGTTGTGTGAGGCACAAGAGTGTGTTAGGAACACATAATGGGAAGGAGCATACAGTAGTCTCTCACACTTACTTGTGTTCTTTTTCTCCAACAGCTTAAATGGAAACTTGATAAAGCCAGAGGAGGCCAAAGTCTTTGAAGACGAGAAGCGGATTGTCTGTTTCTGAGGGGATGTTTTCCTGTGGGTGGGTCTTGGCCGTGGGGGTGACTCTGTGCAGTTGCCTGTCTTGGATGTCTGAAACATCCAGCGTCTGCCGAGGTGGAGCTTCCAGGATTCCTGCCTTCGTGGTGCAAAACGAGCTCTGTGCGGGCACTCTGATTGGCAGAGTCCCTGAGTAGCTGTTACAATTCTGCAGGAAAAGTATGAGCTGTTTTAGTGACTGTAAACATACTCTGAAGAGATGTTAATCCATGATTATTTTAATCTGAAATTAGAGGAATGAGACTTTGAGCTCATAGAAACGCCTGCCCAAAGACCAGGGAGAGTGAGTCGGTCACTGCCGCATTCAATGAAGAGCTGGGGACATGGTGCAAAGTTGGTGCCATGTTTCTTGGGGAAAAGGTGCTCAACGAACAAAAGTGTTTTACCTGCAATGTTCTCTTCCTCCTCAGTACTTCCCCATGTGTTGATATTATTCCCACTTCAGAACTGTGGATACTGGGGGGGGGTACAGTGTGGGGATCTGACTCATCCAAGGTTCTGTAGGGACTTGGTGCCAAAGGAAGGACCCGCCATGGGCTTACGTCTTAGTCCTGGAGTCTCACCGTCTGCTGACAAAGATCGCAGGATGCCCTCCTCTTAGCCAGTCTGAGGGACAGGACGATGCCTTCGTAATGCTGAGGCTCCACTCAGGGCTTTCGTGGGTCGGGGCTGACCTTCGGAAGACTGATGCTGTGGGCAGAGGTTCTCTGTCCCAGGAAGAAGAATCAGCGCCGTCCTTCAAAAGGAATAAGGCCTGGCTTGCCCATGTGGCTCCGGCATCCAAACAGGAGCTTCTCTCTCTCTCTCTCCTGCCCTTTTGAGGAAGGGAAGTCTCTTCCTGCCCTCGAGCAGTTGTGCGAGTGACTGAGTTGGAGGCAACGCAAGCCGCTGAGAACCCAGCAAGCACGTCAGACCCCTGCCACCGTGGCGGGCACCTGGTGGATGCTAAATGGGGGAAAGGAGAAGGTTTCACCAGAGAACTTGTTCTTTTGGCAATTCATTTGTTAGTAAAATACTGAAGACACTCATTTTTTCTAACTGCCTGAGCCTGGGATTTTAAAAAGGGACTCGGCCTGGCAAGCACACTGTGACCCCTTCAGAGGCACTTACTGCATGGGGTGGGGCCCTGGGGTGACGTGCTATGAGGAGAGCCTGGCGAGGGAAGGCAAGAGGCATCCTCAGTGTGATCCTTCGCAGGCCTCTCTACCCACCAAGGGACCGAAAAAAGCAGAGGAAGCATCTGAGGCCTCTCCATTTGACCACTCGATCCACACAGGTGGCTTCTCAGAGGGAATAACTTGAGCCCCCAGTGGCTGGGGCCAGGGTACGCTGGCATGGCCGAACCTCACATCCCTCAGCACCGTGCCATGATGGGCCCTGGCAGGCCGGGTTTGACGTCCACTATCTTCCTCGGCTGTTCACTGCCGAGGGGAGGACAGAGGTGGGCCTGGACCCGCTGTGGCAAGAGGCACCGAGCTGACAGGGGCCAAGCATGAGAGGGGCAGGGGTGAGGGGGCCCTCCAGCAGTACCTTGGAGTTCTCAGAAGTCCAGCCTGACTTTATACAGCAGCCCCAGTTAGGAAGGGTACAATTCAGGAAGTTGGTCCTTGAAAGTTAGGGGGAAAATCCTGTGACAGTCACTCAGCACATGGGGGCCATTCCCCTAAGGCACTGCTTTGGCGGCTCCTACCCACTCTGCCCACACCCCCAGATTTGGGTATTTGCCTAATAGCCCCTGAGGCAGCAACTCTCTACCAGAGATTCTGGGCAGCAGATATGCCCAGAAAGCACAAAGGAATGAGCACCGGTCAAGGGTGCTTCAGAATTCAGGCTTGCCGAGTGAGAGAACCACACTTCTCAGCTGACAAATTCATACTTTATTAAGCTGCTAAAACTAAACTTTTGAGAGTCTAAAATGTATCCAGAAACTACCAAATATTACTGCTTTTAGAGACTATCAAAACTAAAACTGCTGCCTCTAAGGGAAATTGAATTTGTGTGTTATTGGCTTAAATTCTAACTTGGAAATACTTTAGTCTTTTAGATGGTGAATGATAGATTTTCTATTTTTCTTATAAAAGTAAAATCAGGCTCCTAATTCACTAAAGTTCTCCATTACCCACAGGTGAGCTTCTGTGCAGAGAGGTGGAGACTTTTCCTAATTAAGAAAAAGATAACAGAAAATTTGGGGAAATAAAGGAATTCCACAAACTTAAGATATGACTCTTTCTTTCCACAGGAACTGAGTTCATTTAGGGAGAGAAACTATAGCTCCTGTATTTCAGAACTACATTTATGGCTTGTCCTTGCTGATTTGGAACTTATTTAAATAAGCCATGTCAAATCACTGTGGGGCTTTGGGCCACATCTTAAGACTGTCAGAATCTCAATTTCCTCCTTGAAAAATAGGAATCCCAGAGTACTGACTCCCAGGGTTGTTGTGAGGATTAAATGAGCTGAAGCATGGAAAGCAGTTAGCACAATGCCCAGTGCAGGGTCAGTGCTCAATATACAATATCATTAAACCAACGTTTCTCATTTCTGCTCACAATGGCACCCCCAGGTGTCCTCTTTACACTCTTAGGCTTAGGGAACTTCCCAACAAGGTCAAATATGGGACTGGAAGTTCTTAAAGTCAAGTCTAAAAACATTCAACATCAAGCTTCCCGCAATATCCTGGCTCCGTCAGTGAAAAGCATAGCTGTTAGTTGTCATCATTCTTACCAAAGAGCCCTACCATTTAAGTGTCACTCACTGAACAGAGGGAGGCACATCCAGGTCTTCACTGCACAGTAAGAGCAGAGCAGGAGCCGGCACCACTGCACAAAGCCAGGCGTCCCTTTCAGCTGCCCAACTGGGAAGGAGCATTTGGCTCACTGGTGTTTTCATCCACTTCCAGGTGTTACACACATCTATTTCCAGTAACTAATTGCTCACTTACAGGAAAAAAAAAAAAAATCCTTGCTCTGGAGCTGAAAGGCAGAACCATGACCATTATCCCAGGTCCGTAGAGAGGAATTTTAATGAAAGTGGAATTAGCTGGTAAGGAGGACAAAGCTCATGTTACCACACAGATGGGCTGGCAGCAGAGCTGCAGGGCCCAGGGGCCATCCCAGCGTGATTCTCACTTAAAACTGAATTAACTGCACCCAAGACCAGCTTAAAACTTTTAGAAGCACTAAGTACTGAAAAGATTACAGGCCCCCGATGATCTGTAATGAAAGAAAAAAAAAAAGATTTTAAACAATAGTAAATTATAAAATAAGTTCAAGGATGTTAAATAAGTTTCTGATTTTCCCCAAGACTACTCAGGTGCTTTTTTGGGCAAATAACAAATATCGAAATAACTTGAATTTTTTTCCTTGACTTTTTCTCTCTGTCACATTTGTGTTACAAAAGCAGTATCACAATGTTAAAGGAAAAGATTCAAATAACGCTTATAATAACACAATGCTAACACAGCTACTTATTTTTGCATGCTATTTTTCCATATTTTGCCTACTCGGAGACTTTTTTGTTGTGGTAAAATACACATAATATACAATTTACCATCTTAATCATTTTTAAGTGTACATTTCAGTGGTATAAACACATCCATATGTTGTGTAACCATCACCAACGCCGATCTCCAGAATTACTCTTCTTGTAAAACCAAAATTCTATACTCATTAAACAATAATTCCCCATTTCCCCGTCCCCCAAGCCCCTGGCAACCACCCTTCTACTTTCCTTCTCTATGATTCTGACTATCCTAGGTCCCTCATATAAGTGAAGCCATACAGTGTTTGTCTTCTTATGACTGGCTTATTTCACTTAGCATGATGTCCTCAAAGTTCATCCATGTCAGAATTTCTTTTTTAAGGTTGACTGTTTTGACATCTTTTTACATAGTTATAATCACAGCGTACACCTGCAATTTCTTTCAATCATTTTCCCACATTGTTAACCTTTATAATTATCATTTGTATTCTATTGGTTTGATAATTTGCTCAATTATGTTCCAAGTGTTAGATAGACATTCAGGTTTCCAGACTGGCTGTGGTGGCCGTGGTGATTCTTACAGACATTTCTATGGAAGTAGAAAGTTCTTTAGGATTATTTCTTTGGAGCGGGATTAGCAAGTCAAAGATTCTTGCTATGAATTTTTTTTTTTTTTCAGTCTACGTGAACCCGTCAAGTATAGGAGTCTAATAAATGGTTTGTTTGGAAGCAGGTGGAAGTTACAGAACAATGTAATGTCTTCTTTGAATACGAATGAGACTCCCTGCCCTGGACCGTTCATCCTAGACGGTACCCAGGCACTGCCCCCACACATAGATGTGTTACAGCCACAGGCAGGCACTGGTAATAACTACAGCTGCAGGGAATAATGAGTAACCCATAAATCAGCATGTTTTCAAGTGGCACTGTGAAGACAGTCACTTATAACTGGGTAGGTGTATCTTCAAAATCAGTCTTCCTTGATTTTAAGCATTTGTACGTGTGCGTGTGTCTTTGCCTAAACCAACCCAGTCTGACTGAACCCATTAGCACTGTGTCAAATGGAAACTGGTTCTTCCCAACAACGCTGTCCAGTAGGGATTATTTCCCGAGTGAGGAAACTGAGAACTAGTGAGTATGGATATGTATCTTGTTTTACTAATGAGGACGCCTATAAAAATGGGGGTGGTGGTGGTGAAGCAACACCCTTTAGGAAAGGGATTTTGGCAAATGCAGAAGGTTGGACCTGGTAATACAGGCACTGGCGTCTGAGAGCAAAAGCGACTTGCCCAAGGCCACACGCTGTATTATCACTACGGCAAGAACCCGAACACAGGCCTTCTGCTGGCTTTATTTTCCCTCTGTTCTGATAGTTTGTGACCTTCAGTTCATTCTCCAACTGAACTTTTTTCTGCCAAGCCTCTTAAACCTGATCCCAATTCACTAGAGCAAGTTAAACAAAATGAACTCTCCCCCCAAGGACACAGGTGGGGTCTCTTTAGTGTCCCTTTGGGAAGCCTGGTCTCTTCTATATTAATGGTGCTAAAATTTACAGGACTCTGGAAACACGTTTACAAGCCTCATTGACTGAGAGTCACAAGGCTAGGAACACCCTGGAGAATGTCAGGTGACACAAGAGTCTGACTTTTCAGAGCCCACACATCTTCTACCCCCCAACCATGGGACTGGACTAAAGGAAGAAGGTGCATTCCGGAGAGCTCGAGAAGGTCGTATTGGGATTATTTTCATCACAAGAGGGCAGCACGTATCCAGCAGTTAGTCCATTATGTAAGTGGCCTAAAGGATTCAACTGTGCAGGGGGCCTGATGACTGACCCAATGTTCTACTTACATAAAAATCCAAAGTACATGGTGTTAAGAGCAACTTCATTGTAAGCCCACTCATCCATGACTTCAAAGACAGTGTTAAGTTAGGGAGAGTTGGCCCCAAGGCATATAAACAGCAGAGTTATAGCAAGCTCTGTGGGTACTGAAGATCTGGGTTCGAATTCCAGTGCTACCAGAAGTTGTGTGACCTTGGACAAGTGACTTAGCTTTTCTGTGCCTGAGCTTACCATCTGTAATAATAGTGCTCCCTTTGCAGGGTTGTTTGGTTATGAGAAGTAATTAATATATGTAAAGCACTTAAAACAGTGCCTGACATGTAGTAGAGCTCCAGAAGTAGCAACGTTGGTTGTCTAGTCAGACCTTTCCCTTCTAGCATGACCTTAATGAGCATCAGGGATAGGGCAAAAGAGGAGACTGTGCTAGGCCATCCTTCCCACACTTAGGAGCCCCTCTGAAACAACATCGCCATTTTCGAACTGATAGCAAAGTCTAGACTTATATGCTGCTGAGAGACCAGAAGCCATTTCCAAGGGCAAATACCTGTGGGGTAAGAACTAACCATTCCCTATACCTGATATCGTCTTCATTTTTATTTTGTTAAGGACCTGCATGTCCAGGTCCTATTCAGAAGCAGGGATTAGGAAAGCTAAAAGTCTACTTGCATTTTAATCTGATTTCACAGATGTTAAGAGTGTACTATCTGGCTTTCCACACTAAAATTGTATGGCTGAAGGTCATTTCTTTCTTTGATGTCAGCATGTGGTTCTGTGTCTAGCATTCTTTTCATTCAACATTGCTACTGATCCCCCTGCCTGCAGCAGAAATGAATAATGGGAGTCTTGAGAGGTAGCAGGAGAGAAGAGTAGGGAGGGAGGTAGCTAAGAACAGAACACAGCAAAACACATCGGGAGGGTGGAAGGTGGGTGGTTTAACTACTGGAATCCGAACTCACACCCAATTCATACTGTCCTATTGCCGTGTCCAGGAACTGGCTGCATGTGTCTGGGGCCATCAGCCTGGCCTCCTGGGCACTGAATCTGTATGGGGCCAGAAGCTCATCACTTACTGAGCAGCTCTGGGGGATGGCCCAGCTGCCCACCGCTGCTTTTAGATCTCCCAGTGGATACTCACTAGACAACATGTGAGATCTTTTTCCTTCTGCTGAGTCAACACACATTTCCAGTTCGTCTTCCCAGGGGGACCCACTGGTGATCAACAAAATCCTTCCATTTGAATCAACAGGTCCAGTTGTTTCTCAACTTTTTTTTTTGTTACCGCCCTGTAAGGAGACTTTTAAGACATATTTACCTAAAGCCCTTTGCCACCATGAAATTCTAATACCACAAATATACTGTATTTCTGTTTAGGTACCCTGGCCATGCAGGCCGTTTTTTGTCCCACAAGAACCAATTTTTACCCCCTTGGGGTGATATCCCTCCTGTTGAGAGTCAAACCCTAGATAATTCTTGTCACTCTTGTCAACTCCAAGAATGCCCTCTGTCACCCTAAAGGCTGTTTGCCTTTCTACACAATTATTCAGTTTCTAATTCTAGAAATCTTAATAGTTGTACATTTAATATTCTCATGCATTCTTTTCACTCTTTTTATCTGTCCTGAAAACAATTTTATCCTATGTAAAACTTTGCTTAGGTTACTTTAAAAAATGCTGTTTGTAAAAGGGGAACAGTCCATCCTTACAGGGACAGTTAAAGTCTGAAGCACTCTGGCACCAGCAGCTTCAGAGATGAATTTCTATGGTGTGTCCACAGCGACCGCCAGCAGGCTTCGGGCAGATCTTGAGGCTGACCAAGCGTGCCTCTGCTGTTATCCCACTTCTCTCTCTCACTTTCTGGTTCCCCCACCCGCACACCCTCTCTAAGAAACCCAGGAATACACAGAATTCCCCCTTCGAAAGAGAACCCAGGCCTCTGCCCACCACAGGCTACCGGCCTCCCACATCAGCCCTCCCCACGCACCACCGCTACACTCAGCTAAATATTAGAACGTTACGCCAACTCAACTAATTCAGAATAAAATGGAATTAATAGGATTACCTCTGTCAGATGGTTTACATTTCAGAAGAGAAGCTGGCTGATCAAAATACTCTCCAATTAGACACATAAACCCAGAGAAACCTCAGATCAAATTAATGTTCGCGTTCTCTCAGCTGTCTCCCTCACAATCCCAGAACCTGGTTGGCTCTTCTGAAAGGTCTTATCCCTGCAATGTCTTGGCGAGCTGAAAAAGTCCATCCATCCATCCAGCCATCTCACAAATAAATACTGAACACCTACTTCATGCCAGGCACTGTGGGGCTGCTAGGAATACGATGGTTAGTGTCAAGTCTGGGACTGTATTTTAGTCCAATCACAAGTTATTTAATAAGTCAGACACTGTTTCATGGATGCTAGCATGAGACCTGAGACTCCTGGGTCAGAGACACAGTACTTTATTATTCACAGAACAACAAACAGCCAATGGTGAATAAAGAGGTTTCAATAAGGAGATTACAGTCGAACTGCTGAATGTTTTTGTAAGTCAAAGTAATAACGTTAGTCCTAAAAAATGCCCGAGGATTTAGTGACATACAGTTTATGGGTCACCTTAGTAACAGCTGTTTTGTTAAACTGACAGCAGGGAAGCCACTGGAGTGGGCTGAGAAGTAACTGGAAAATGAGAATCTCTTTCAAGAAATATCATGTGAAGCAGGAAAGATAAGACAGTAGCTCAAAGGGGAGATGGAATCTAGGGAGGGTTCCCTCGTCCAACTTAAGATGAGGAGTTAAATGTTCATGGAAAAGACGTAATTGGGAGGGAGAGGTGAGTACAGAAGAGAGAAGGAGTAATTGAGAATGCAAGGTTCCTCAGAAGGTGAGGAGGCTGGGATCTCCAGCACAGGTGAGAAGCTGACCTTCGTACAGGAAGAAGCGCTGTGCCATTTCAGGAGTGAGAAAGGAGAAGACAGTGCAGACTAGATGGGCCTGTGAGGTTAGGGGTAAGGTGTTGATGCCACTACCAACATCCAGGGTTAATGCAAGATTTTACTGTTAAATAATTATCTTTTCAGGGGGAAACCAGAAAGCAAAAACAGAGTAGAACATATTTATTCTAAACGTGGAAACATTTTTCAGGAGGATTTTTGCCCACTTTAATTCCTTTTGTGTTCAGGGGAAAAAAAAAAAAGGTATTAAGTAAGAAGCATTTGCAGTTTTCTCCCAACTCCCTCTCCTCAGGAGGAAGGCTCCAGGGCCTATCACCACTGAACAGAAGGAAAGACGTGAGGGACACCAAGAGATTATTATTATCATTATGGCAAATTCCTACAGAGACTGACAATATACCAGACCCTCTTCTAATCGTTTATAGATACTCATTGTTTCTTTACTCCTTACGATAACCATAGGAGGAAACTGAGCTACAGAGAGTTTAAAGTAACTTGCCCAAGGTCGCACAATAAGTGAGATGGCAGATACTCCAACAGACAGTCCGGCTCCAGAGTGTGTATGTTTAACCACTTACACTAAGCTGCGGCTATTAACAAGTACATAATAAAGAGATAACCTGTAGATGAGGAGAGACAAGGGGCCCTGCGTGGGAGAGATATGAGAGACAATTTGGGGGAGATAACATAGAGGGAAGAAGAAGAAATGAAAAGAAAAATGAGACACTGAGAGAACTGGGGAAAGTATTTCCATCCTCCCTCCAAGTTTTATTATGAAAGATTTCAAACCTACAGAAAACTTGACATAATACAATGAACATTCATATCCTACATATATTAAGTATTAACATGGCACCATATTTAACGTTCTATATTTTCCACATATTTTTTCTTTTTGTATAGCATTTGAAAGTTGCTATACAACTTTCAAATGAGACTTTATCTCAATATTTTAGCATGCATCTCCTAAGAAAATAGGCAATCTCCTACAAACCTAAGTTTATAATGTATTTGTAAATATTTCATTCTCATATATAGGTCTGAAGAGTAGTTAAAAATAAAATTGTCAATTATACCTCAAGAAAGCTGAAATTTAAAAAGAAAATCAGTATGACCTCTTATAACCTGGGTTAGGCTCTGAACTAAGGGCTTTTTTAGATACTTTATCTCATTTAATCCTCGTAACAGCCTTATGAGTTAGGTTGTGGTAATTATTCCCATTTTATAGGTGAAGAAACTGAGGCACCGAGTAGTTAACTTGCCCAGGGTCACACAACAAGCAGAAATGACAGGATGTGAACCTGGGCATTCTGGCTCCAGAACTCGGGCCTTTAACCACCATATCAATAGCATTGTGGAGGTAAGGCACTGCAGAGTACTTTGCCCTGAGCAGTGGAGGAAAGCATTCTGCCCTTACAGGTGGTTAAACGTGGCCTAATAAAGGAAAAGTTAAGGAAAGTGAAGAAGTACTGAACTTAGAACTTAATCATTTTCTTACAAGTTACTCTAAATAAGGGTGAATCTAAGTTTAGCTCTTTAAAGATTGTTTTAAAGTATGGATTTGGCTACAAATCCATAGGATCTTGATAAATTGGATTCATTAAACGTCAGGTAAATTTAGGCCATAAGCTACAACATCTCTGTTATAGTGCCAATGCTATGAACTTATCATGTATTGGTAAATATTTCACTTCTTATATAGAAGCCTGAAATGTAATTTTAAAACAAAATCAATATAATTTTTATTAAAACCAACCCCGATATTACAACTTGATTCAAGGGTTATGAAAACAGCCTTAAAGCTGCACTCTAGGGCTTCCCTGGTGGCACAGTGGTTAAGAATCCGCCTGCCAATGCAGGGGACACGGGTTTGAGCCCTGGCCCGGGGAGATCTCACATGCCGCGGAGCAGCTAAGCCTGTGCGCCACAACTACTGAGCCTGAGCTCTAGAGCCCGCAAGGCACAACTACTGAGCCCACGTGCCACAACTACTGAAGCCCGTGTGCCTAGAGCCCGTGCTCCTCAACAAGAGAAGCCACAGCAAGGAGAAGCCCTTGCACCGCAACTTAGAGTAGCCCCCACTCGTCGCAACTAGAGAAAGCCCGCGCACAGCAACGAAGACCCAACACAGCCAAAAATAAATAGAAAAAAAAAACAAAAAAAAGCTGCACTCTATTGTCAAATATGCTTCTGAGCTGTTGTACATATGTGAACGATCTGCCTAATTTGTGCATTAGTACTGTTAGTACATATGGGAGAGTGCTGCAGTAAATGCTCCCTAATAAATTACATTTCCCTCTACCTCTGTGACTTGCATTGGATAATGGTCCACTGGCAAACATACGCAAGCAGAAGCCTGAAGAGTACTTGCAGATCGGGGCTTGCCCGCTCTTGCTGCAGGGAACACTTCCACTACCACGTGAATAACCCCAGGCAAACCTGCTGGAGACACGTGGTCCAGCCAGCAGCCATTCTTATCTCCAGGCATGTGAGGCAGGCAATGCTAGACCAGTCAGCCCCCAGCTGACCCACCTGCTGATTGTAGCTGCACGAACAAGTGTAGGCAAGAGCCTAAGTTTCTGATTCACAGAATCGTGAGTTAAGACTGTGGTTTTAAGCCACTAAAATTTTGAGGTGGTTTGTTACCCAGGAAAGCATAATTGAAATAGTACGTAAAAATTAAGGAAGGCTAACTACTGTAATAAATAGACCCCTAAATACATAATGGTTTAAATACAACAGAAGTTTATCTCCTGCTCATATAAATAGTTCAAGGAGATCTGAGATTGGTGGCAGGGGCCTCTGTAAGGGACGCAGGCTGTCGTTTTTTGCCATAGTCAACATGTGGCTTCCAAGGTCACTTTAGGCACCATAAACTAAATAGCAGAAGCAGAGCATAGAGGACAGCAAGTGGGAAATTTTATTGGGCCTGGCCAAGAAATAGGGCATAACCCTTCTGTTCACCTTTTATAGGTAGAACTCAACCATGTGGCCAAGCCTAACTGCAGTGAAGGGGTCTAGTCACGTGCCTAGCAATAGGAGAAAACGGTCTGATGAACAACTCCCAGCTTGATGCTATAGAACTATATTGGATTTTTAGGAAACAAAACTCATGCCTGTCAAGTCCAGCATGGCAGAGTGGGAAAACAGACTGAGGATTAGAAAGATCTGGGTAGGATTTTGGTTCCTATTAACTGTGTAACCTGAGCAAATGACCTAATCCATGTACATTCTTATTTCTTCCTCTACAAAATAGGGAAATTACCGTCCTCAGTGGGCTGTTGTGAGGTTTAAATGTCAAGTATTTGGTAGAGTGTCTGGCACGTGATAGGCATTCAATAAATGGGAGCTGATGGCATTATTATTATAACTAAATTGAGTAGTGTGAGAAATCAAAGAGTATGGAGAGAAATAAAGAGCAACATTAAGGTATCTACATAGCAGGAGGACTGTCGTGACAGTTCCAAGTGTAAATCATGAAAGTCTAACAAATCAGTCTTATCACAAAAGGAGGGGATTTATTAGAAGGACAGAAACACAGGGTGTAGCTCTCAACATCAGACAGACCTGTTGAACTGGAACCTCTTCCAGGACTTTGGAGACTAAAACTTCCTTTTTCATGTTATGTAACTTTGCTTCATGCTCCTCGATTACAAATACACCTTTTGCATGTTTCAACAGCCTCCAGAATTGCTTATTTTTAAATGTGTGATAATGTTATTGTGGTTATAAAGAGTCTCTATCTTTTACACATACATATTGAGTACTTACAGATGAAACTGTATCAAGGTTTCGCTTTAAAATAATGCATTTAAAATACATTTGGGGAAGGAAGGTGGAGAACATACATTGCAGGATTGGCCTTGGGCTGATAATTGCTGAAGTTAGGGGATGGGTACATGGGAGTTCACTATTGTATTCTCATTACTTTTGCATACATTTGAAAATTTCCACTAAACAAACAAATGAGGGAAAACAAAAGCCCAAGACCGATCTCATCTTGGCCTAGAGATTCAAGAAGGAAGAGGGATGGACTTGATTGGCCCACCTTACTGTTTTACCTGTGATTTTCTGCTTTGGTGAAAACTTTATCTAAAAGGGAAACACTGCTATGCTATGCATTATCATCTACCTGGCTACAGTCTTTCTGGATTTTGAGGGATACGGCTAAAATGATGTATAGAAATCAAGACTTGATAGGCCTAGGTGAACTCAACTACAACCTCTCCTAGACCTACTGATTGCTAGAACACTTCCCCATTCTCCTCACATCCTATCATCTTAAGAAAAGCAGACAGGGCTTCCCTGGTGGCGCAGTGGTTGAGGGTCCGCCCGCCGATGCAGGGGACACGGGTTCGTGCCCCGGGCCGGGAAGATCCCACATGCTGAGGAGTGGCTGGGACCGTGAGCCATGGCCGCTGAGCCTGCGCGTCCGGAGCCTGTGCTCCGCAACGGGAGAGGCCACAACAGTGAGAGGCCCGCGTACCGCAAAAAACAAAACAAACAAAAATACAAAACCAAAACAAAATTTAAAAAAAGAAAAGCAGACAGCTATTTTGGCAGTGCTTTCGCCAAGCACCATCATGTTTAATGGAGTCTCAGGAGAGAACAGGTTGGAGAAAAAAGCATGAGAACCACAAAAATTATGGACCTACTTTCTAGTGATGTAAACAATAAGCTTTCAGAATAGTCACATTGTGTACTGAGGGCATCGAATCGAATCAGAATATCCAGTACATAAAAGATCCTCTGGTCAGCAGCACAAAACAAAAGGAGAAAGCCTGAGAACTAGTTACTATTTCTTTCTCATAAGATGTATTTTCTGAAGGAAAAAAAAAAATCACTTTCTCTTTATGACACCCAAGGTGTGCATAGGTTTTGTAATCATGTTCTAGGAAGTGGTTGATCTCATCTGTTACACTGATCACATAAAAAATAAGGACCGGGGGGAAAAATATTGATAACTTTAGAGAAAAAGTCTAGGGATACAAGGAGCAAGAGTTTGTTGGCCACAGTCTAGTACTTGGTCCAAAAGGAAAGAGTGTATTTGGACTATTAAAAAGTTGTATTTTTACCGTTAAAATCTTTGCTAATTAGTCTCAAAATCATGTTTTATATCCAAATCAGATTCTTAATTTTCACAAATGTGGCAGATTGTCTTTCCCAAAGATGGATACTACAATATATCCCATTCCACGTGTTTTTTTTTTTGGACTGTGTAACATTGATGTTTCTTCTATTGGGTGGTGGGGTCTATATCTTCTACCTGTGAACCTAGGAAGACCTCTGTGTCCTCCTCGACCGAGAATGTACAGTGGAAGTGACTCTACGTGACCTTGAGACAAGGTCACAAGAAACTCATGCACTTCTTTCTGCCTTGCTCTCTTGGGACAACTGCCCTTGGAACCAAGCCACCACACTGTGAGGAAGCCAAGCAGCTACATGGACATGCTACGAGTAGGTGCTCCGGCAAACAGCCCCAGCAAACAGCCAACATCAACCACCAGATGTGACTAAGCATTCAGCTGACTCCAGCCCCAAGCAGCTGAGAAGCTGCCAGCACTAGCTAATACTGCATGGAGCAGAGATGAGCTGTCTCTGACAATCCTAGTCTAAACTGCAGATCTGTGAGTAAAATGACTGTCATTATCTTAAGCCACTAAGGGGTGCTTTATAACTGGAAGAATAAATATGACAAATTAAGTTAGTAAAGCTTTTGACTTTTTGTACTTGGTGAAATGATAAGAAAATGTCAAATGAATATGAATAAAATGTAATATTCTGAAGCAATCAGGAGATATAAATTAGATTTTTATGTAGCAGCATAGATCTCAAAAACACAGTAAAAAGTTAATAATCATTAATTTTCAATAATAATCATTGAATGATATACAATGAACATTTATTTACATTTTAAGAATGCACTCAAAGCAATCCTATGCATCTTTCAAAGATTCATAAAAATCTATAGAATCTAAATATATAGAAGGTAGATCTGAAGGACACATATTAAATAATAAGGTATATGTCTTATGGGAGTGGGAATGGGGATAAAGAGAGAAAATATTGTTTTAAAAGAACAACAACAAAAAGAGAGTGTTATGTAATTATTAAACTTAATTCGCATTTCCTTTTGTCACACAGCTAAAAATCTACTTCCCAGCCTCTTAGGTGTAGCCACATGACTGCGTCCTAACCAATGGAATGTAGGCAGAAGTGATAAATGCTGTCTCCAGGCCAGGCCCCTAGAAAAGGAAAAAGAGCCTTGGCTACTAATAGAAAGGCTGAACAGTCCCATCTAAATATAAACAATGGTCACAATATGTCAACAATGATCAGAAAAGGCAGCTCTGTGAGCACAGTGGACTGAGACAGAGCACAACCACTCAGTGAGCATGTCTCAAACAAGAGACAGACAAAGCCACAAAAGTAATTATATACCTCCTGCTTCTGACATAACTTTTTTTTTTTTGCCAACAGTAACTCTAGCTCTGCTTTAAGTGTACTGCCTCCTAGATAAAATTACCAAGGTACACAATCACTGAATAGCCCCAAGCTCCTGACAGCACCCAAATCACTACCAGCCTCCACTTTTGTTAACCCTTCTTTGAATCACAAGTCCAAAACCTCTTACGAGGATGCCCCTCAGGTCCTCACCTAGCTAAAGAAACCTCACTTTGACCTCAGTTCTGTTCATGGTGGACTCTGGCTGGTGAGCTTTGACAACAGTGGATCTTCCTGAGATCTGGCTTAGACCCTTCCCTGACACAAACCATGCTTGACTTAGAAATAGTGTGGAAATCTCAAACTCCTTGAATCTCCAGTCTCAAGGCCGTCCTTGCCAAGACAACTGCAGCTGAACGTGAGCTCCAAATAATTTGTTGAGCCCTTCAATGTTAGCCTTATATTTGGTTCTTGGGACTTTTGAATTCTGATCTTGTACTGCTCCTTGGTAAAATTCGGCTGCTAAGCATTTAACTCAGCATTCCTATTACCTGCCCAGTTGTCCACTTTTTTTTTTTTTTTGGAGGATAAAGAAAGGGTGGCTTTATTCTTTGCCAGGCAAAGGGGGGAACACAGCAGGCTAGTGCCTCAAAAACTGTGTCCCCATTTTCTTGACAATTACTCCTCTATAACAGAAAAGCCTATAGTGAGGGACACATACCAGATAAATTGTCAGTGAGGCTGGTTCTGATGGCTGCTAAGTTCAGAACATTTCATCTCATCAGCCCTGCATCCTTAGAACAAACTCTGCCTTGGGTCACTGTATTACTTGAATCCTTCTTAGCTTTTGGTGGTTGCTGCAATCTTTGGTCTTCCTTAGCTTATAGCTGCAGCCCTCCAATCTCAGCCTCTGTCATTACATGGCCTACTTTCCTCTTCGTGTGTCTCCAAATCTCCTTCTCCTTATAAAGACACCAGCCATTGGATTTTGGGCCCATCCTAACCCAGTATGACCCCATCTTAACTTCACCCTATTTCCAAATAATCTCACATTCACAGGTACCTTGGGATTTAGACTTCAACGTAACTTTCTGGCAGACAATTCAACCCACAACAGTCACCTTTCAAGATATTTTAAGACTTACTTTCTATAGTTGTGTCTTCCTAGATCTGCTTTTTTCTTTTTCTTGTTTTAAAACCAGCCCTCAGTTGGCAATCTGGTCCATGACCAGATTCTGGAGACATGCAGTTGCACAAGCACATAATCAATGCAATAATCCGCGTGAGAACTTTTTAGTCTAAATTTGCATTCCCTTCAGGCCAAATACCTTTTCCTTCATGATACCTGTTACATTGCTAAATCATGTACACATCTTTCCAAGTTGCATAATTTCATCAAGGACAATTAGGTATTGCAATGGTCACTTTGGAGAAATCTGACATAAGCAATGTTGTTCATCTGACAGGCACTTTAGCACAAAAAGGAAACAAAATCCCAACTATCCAATGGTCTGTTTCTACATTCCATTTGAAGTGGCATAATGCGGATACTGGTAGACTACTACATATAACTTATTTATGCAAATGTACAATAACCACCTAAAAATTATACAAAGAGATACACTTATTAACACTGTAAATCAATTTAAATGGAATACTAAAAAAATGTTCAAGTAACTCATAAGAAGGTAGGAAAGATCAATGAAAAACAGAAAGAACAAAGAGAATACAAACTAGCAGACTTAAATCCTAACATACCAAAATTACATTAAATGTAAGTAGTCTATACACAACTTAAAGGAAATTGACCCAATAGATAAAAAAGTATTTTTCTATCTACAAGAAAGAGATGAGACAAATTACCAACATCATGAATGAAAGAAGAAATATCACTACAGACTCAGCAGACATTAAAAAGATAATAAGGGAAAACAACTCTATGCCCATAAATTCGACAACTTGGATAAAATTAACAAAGTCCTCAAAAGCTACAGCTCTCCAAACTCACCCCAAATGAAATAGATAACCTGAATAGTTTTGTAAATACTAAAAAAATTGAATCCACAGTATAAAACCTTTTGATAAAGAAATCTCTGGGCCAGATGGCTTTTCAATAAATGGTGTTAGAATAACTGTACATTTTTAGGCTTCAACATAAACCTCACATCTGACACAAAAATTAACTCAAGATGGATCATAGATATAAATGTGAAAAGTGAAATCATGAATCTTTTAAAAGACAACATAGGAAAGAATCTTATGGGTTAGGTACAGTTCTTAGCCATGACACCAAAATCATGATCATAAAAGAAAAATACCAACAAATTGAATTTTATCAATACCAAATCCTTTTGCTATGAGAAAGACCCTGTTACGAGGATGAAAATATAAGATATGAACTAGGAGATACATTTGCAATTCACAGTTCTCATGTGAGACCTATTTTCATAATATATAAGGAATTCTCTAAATACAAGAGTAGAAGACAAAAAATTCAATTAGAAACCTACTAGAATGGCATGAAAAAATCCACAATACCAACTGCTGGTGAGGATACAGAGCAACTGGATCTCTCATACATTGCTGGTGGGAATACGAAATGATACATCTACTTTGGAAAAATGTTTGGCAGTTTCTTATTAAGTTAAACATAGACTTACCATAAGAATCAGCAATCATACTCCTGGGTATTTATCCTAGAGAAAGGAAAACACAAAAATCTGTCCACACAAAAATCTGTACATGAATGTTTATAGCAGCTTTATTCATAATCTGAACTCTGAAAACAATCAAAAATGTCCTACAAAAAGTGAATGGATCAACTTTGGTACATCCATACAGTGGAGTACTACTCATCAATAAAAAGGAAGGAACTACTGATACCTGCAATACATTGAAAGGATCTCAAGGCTATTATCCTGAGTAAAAAAAGCCAATTTCAAAAGGTTATACACTCTATGATTCCATTTATAGAAATTATAAATTTCCATTTTGAAATGACAAAATTATAGTGAGAAAGAACAGATCAGTGGTTGCCAGTGGTTACAACTATAGAGAAGGTATGATTATAAAAACGTTAGCATGAGAGAATTTCTTTGTGGCAATGGGAAAGTTGTGTATCCTGATTGTTGTGGTAGGTATAGGAATCTATGTATGTGACAAAATGTCATAGAACTATACATTTAAAAAAAAAGAATGCGTGTAAAACTTGGTAAAAATTGAATAAGTCTGTAGTTAGTTAAAAGCACTGTACCACTGTCAACTTCTTGTTTTTGATAAGGAACTATGGTTATATAAGGTCTTACCACTGGGCCATCTGGGGAATTCTGGGTGAAGATACACAGGAATTCTCAGTCCTATTTTTTGCAATTCTTTGTGAGTATAAAGTTAACTTTAAAATATAGCTAAAATTGGTAGGAGAGGCTTCTAAATACAGTCCAGATTCTAAAATTTCCCTAAAAGACTCTTTCCCTAGACCAATAAAATGTAAAAAATTAAAAATCTGCCTCACTTGTGGATTCACCTAAACCCTGTTCTGCACTTTCCAGTTTGTTATCTTGCCTTTCTCTTCTCTCCTTTTCCATCTTTGGAATGATCCATAATAATTCAGAGTCCCTTAAAATTGCAACCTTTATATGAAGAAGTCCCTAATATGTCAATTTCTAATCCTGGTTATATTCAGATCACTGTGCCATCATTAAGGACTTCCCAAGTCCTGTCCTGGCCCATATACGCCAAACTTTCTTGACCTCATTCAAGCACTTCTTTCCATCGATGGGTCCAGGAGATGCAAGAACTTGACACTGTAAACCACTGGAAAATTCTCCCATTCTAGCCAAAAAGAGGAAGAGCTAGAAGCCTCTAGGCGATCATAAAGGGGGCCCAAGGGAAACTGTAGCATCCAAATCCCAATGATTCTCTTGGCCCAACAAGATGATTATCTCTGACAGAAGGATAGAAACAAACCTTTCAAATGGACACAGGTTGTACTATAAATCCTACAACTCTTTCTATAAATATAAAATTATACTTTTCAGAATTATATAATTACCAGATAGTAGGTTACCTTTTCCCATCTCATCTGCCTATAGCTGGCTCCCTCCTCCCCCACCTCTTTTCCCTAGGAATTATTTTTAAAAAATTAATCAAAAAGTTATCTGTTGTTACTCACATATTCATCTAGTCCAGATAAAATTCGAGTAAAATTTTTTAAAGTCTCAAGCTTTACACATATTGCCTTTTCAATTTTTTCTTGCTAAAACTAATACAGGAGAAAAAAGTTAATTGTTAGTTTGAGTAATGGCATTAGATGCTGGGCTATCAGATTCAAAAAGCCAGAAAGTTAAAACTTTTGACATAATATAAATTTCTGGTTTATGGATGCAGAGGTTCATCGTATATCAGAAATAAAGAGTTATACTAGAAAAGAGTTCACGTAATATTCCTGATCATATCCCTCTGGACAAATTGGAATGACTTCAGTTTAAAAACAGCTCTCGGTCTTCTCACTGATGTACCATCACATAAAAATCATCTTAGTGCAATGTACTGGTTTGTATAAGACTTGGATTTAACGTTTTTATGATTTGAACTTTTCTAAATCGCTTGCATTTTAGGTCAAGTTGATTTAGTCATGTGCAATTCTTATTATGCTACAAACCATAAAGACTTAATGTGTACACTTAAATTGCAGCTTCCCAATCCATAGTTAACTTTGTTAATAACTTAGGATAATATTAAATTGAGCTAAATTAATAAACAATCTTTGGATACCTTGACAATTTCTAAGAAAAAGATACAAATTGCTGGTCATGTAATATGGTTTTAATTTATGCTTGTTTCCTATTTTTAAAATTATAGAATGACTAAAGAGTAAGTGCAGATGCACTGGAAAATATTTATTTTTGCAAAATCTTAAAATCTGTAAAAGATACAAAATGTGCAGCCATGCATGGAGAAAAAAATTAAAACACTTTTTGGTTTTATGTATTCTAGTTGTTTGGAGGAAAATAAAATGAGTTATTTTGGTTAAGGCAGTAACTAATAAAATGGTTGAGACTATATTATAGTATAGTAACAAAATAATACATCTCATACACATCAGATAATGAATATGGTTTAACCATTTATCATTGAAACTCTTCATTTTACTAAGATGGTAAATTCAATGTAATAGGTAATCCTATTTTAAAGCAGAACTAACACTTTAAATTACATGTTTACATATATCTTAACAAATATTTAGGAAGGCTTTAGAAAGTTGCATTAATGAAAGGCAGACAGAGCCTTCACTGTGAATCATTATTTGGGTGATGTAACACAAGAATTAAATTAAAATTAGGGTTTTCTTTCTGTAAAATGACCCAACTTATTTTGTGCCCAGATAGTAGTTTCTTCTTAAAGATAAAAATATTGTGAAATCGATGTGTTTTTGGCATACTCTTAAATAATTTTTTCAAAAAGAAGAAACTCTGTGTTAAAGTTTCCTATAATCGTCGCTTATTGCTGCTGTTTTTACACTGTCAACTTGTAAAAACTGCAGTTAGATACTTCTTACTATGTTTCTATCTTGTCCCCTTGTCAATCTTCTTTATTTTTGCCTTTCCCAATTTGAGAATACTAAAACTTCCAATGTGTCTTTTACAACTCAGTGTTTTTTGGGTATCCTGTAATGATTACAAGGTAACTTGTGATTTGCTTCTTCACATTATAAAAGGAAGAAAAGTAGAAATAATTTGGTAATTTGAATTTTAACTAACTTAAAAGTATTTTGAGAGCTCTCTTTAATTTTCAAAACTAGGGCTAAAAGAACAAAAACGTACAAATCATAAGAGAAATTTTAAAAGTGTTTTAATATGAGAAAAATTATCAATACCTTTGAGTCCTGATGAAACAGACCTTTCCAGGAGATCTTAAGCTCGGGTCTTAACAATCCTCTAGGAGCAGATGATCTTCAGATGAAGACTGCCAACCCAAGGTCCTCAGATCAAAGAGATGACGACAAAGTAGACAGCCTCCACCCCACATGGTGGAATAAGATTAATTTCCTGATATCTCAGATTTTCTTCTTTACTGCTAATCTTATTTGTTACCGTACTTCGGTGCCCCCTAGCCATCACCTAATGTTTTCACAGAATGCTTTCACAATTCTCACTGCTGTATTTTCATTCTCCCACTGTCTCTGTGGTATAAGAAAAGGCAAAACCCCTCGTGTGTTCTTCTCAGTCCAGTTACTGCTCTACATCTGATTGACTGCTAGATTATTTTCATCCCCAACCTGACCTCACTGACAAGAATTTAAAGTGACAGCTGTTACTTTATATGCATCGGATGGCAGGTCTTTTATGATATTTGAATTTTCCTCACATTTATTAACCCCAACCCTCCAGTCTTATAAAAATTGGAACCTAACCTCAAGTCAACAAAATACTTCTGCTGAAATCATTACTGTACAAACATTATAAGCTCATTAGGAGCGGGAACAGATACTGGCGCTATGCTGGTGGCAATGGTCAGTCTGTTCTCTTCAGAGACTCTTCAGCCTGCTTTGGAAGAATTCTTTGTCTTCACTCAGGGAATCTGTCTGCCTCAAGGGACAAGCAGTGGGCTCAAGTCTAATGTGATAAATGTTATTTATACTACCAATATAGTCTGCCCCCATCCTTGTTTTCAACCAACCTTGTTTTCAACCAGCATATCACAGTTTGTGGGATACAGCTAAAGCAGAGCACAAAGGACATTTTACACCATTCTATACAAACTCTTTCAGAAAATAAAAGAGGAAGGAACACGTCTCAACATCTTTTAATGAGACTTCCATTACCCTGCAAAGATACTGCAAGAAAACTATAGACCAACATCCTTCCTGGCCATAGAAACAAAAAAAAAAACAAAAACAAACAAAGAAAAATTCTTAACTAATATTAGCAAATTGAATTGAGAAATATATAAAAGGTTGGTTCAACATTCAAAAATCAGTGAAATTCATCATATTAGCAGATCAAAGAAGAAAAACCTTATAATCATCTCAATAGATGAGAGAAAAAGCACTTGACAAAATTCAATATCCATTCATGATAAATTGTCTTAGGAAACAGGAACAAAAGGCAACTTCCTCAATTTTATAAATGGCATCTACAAAACACCTAAGCTAACATAAACTTAGTAGTGAGACTGAAGGCTTTCCCTTTAAGTTCCAGAACAAGCGAGGTTCTCAGCTTTCAGCATTTTCATTCACATCACACTGGAGATCCTAGCCAATGTAATAAAAGGGAAGTAAGGAATGGAGAGAGGAGGGGAAGGAGGGAGGGAGGAACTAGAAAAACTAAAATATTTGGTGAAAAAAAAAAGAATAAAGTTGGAAGACTCACACCACCTCATTTCAAAACTTACTACAAAGCACAAAGCTACAGCAATCAAGATAGTGTAGTACAGGGGAAGGGCAGAAACAGGCAGAACAGAGAATCCAGAAACAAACCCACACATGTACAGATAATTGATTTTTGACACAATATAATCAAAGAAGAGCCTTTTAAACAAGTGGTGCTAGAATAATTGTTCATATACAAAAAAAAAAAAGGGCCCAAACCCAACTTTTTAACAAAATTAAAAAAAAAAAAAAAAAAAAAATTGGAAATGGATCACAGACTAAATATAACACCTAAATCTTCTAGAACACGAGTCAGCAAACTAAGGCTCATGGGCCAAATTCGTCAAATATGTGATACAGAAAAAGAGTAAGGCAGGGTAAGGAAAACAGGAGATGTGAGGGTGAGGGGGGCTCAATGGGCTAGTAAGGTATTCCTGTTTTGTACTGTATGGTTAAGGAAAGTCTCTCTGATAAGGCAACAGCTGAACCAAAGCAACAAAAAAAAGTGGAAGAGGATGCTTGTGAGACCTGAAGGAAGGTCACAGGCAGAGAGAAGAGCAAGTGCAAAGGCTCTGGTGCAGGGGCTTGCCTTCTGTATTTTACGAACATTAAATGATCAATATGGCCACAAGGGAACACGAGGAAGAGCGGGGGAAACGACTTAAAGAGCAAGAGCCACTGGAACGCATACATCTGTGTATGCATGCACACACTCCAGATGTTATAGGGTCTTTTAGGTCATGGTAAAGACTTCAGTTGTGGCTTTGAGTAAGATGGGATCCATGGAGGATTTTCAGCAGAGGAGTAACATGATCTGATATTACATAACAGCATCCCGTGAACATATAAGCACAGAGTAAGAGTCTGGAATGATATATACCAACAAATTAAGGGGAAAAAAAAACTAAGGGAAATGGGGAAAGGAAAACATGATGTTTTCTCCTTTGTGCTTTACTCGTATTTTTGAAAACTTCTACAACAAATATCCAGTATTTTGCTGAAAATTTTTTATTTTAAAATATCTAAAGGATTAATTATTAGAACCATCAACTAAAATAACCTTTTTCTTTGCTTTACCTTAAGCTCCAAACAATTATACACAGCCCATTTCAGCTCCTAGGACAATAAGCAAAAATGAGTATTAACTAAGCAGCATGTATGTGGCTAACAAATATCTAGAATGAGCCACTGACATTCAGGAAGGGCTTAAAGAGAATAAGGTTAACTGTCCTCAACAACTGTTTTAACTTGTACTACTTTCCTTCTTGCTTGAATTTAGTAGTATCTTTATTGATTTAACTTTGCTTGCCCATTTTTGGAAAGTTGTCTGTACATTTCTTGTAACTGCAAGGATTCCAAGAGCATCAGGATGCTGAGACAAAGAGAAGCTTTTTTAAGAGCCCTGGTCAACAGAGGATTTAGAAAAAACACATGCCATGGGCACTGCTTGAGAAGTAGCCAAACATGAAGATGGTGGACCATCCCAGTGGATGTTCTCCAGTGTTTCTAGCAGAGGTCTCTGTTCTAGTGACTGCTGTGTAACAAACCACCCCAAATTTAGTAGCATAAAACACAAATATCATGTATCATCATCTCTCACAATTCTGGGGGTTGAATGGACTCAGCTAGGTAGTTCTCACCCAGGGTCTCTCGCATGGTTGTATGTAATCTGATAGCAGCTGGGGTTGGCGTCATCTAGAAGCCTTCCTCACTCAAATATCTGGCAGCTGACATGGCCTGGGCTTCCCCAGAGCATGAAAACTTGGCCCCATGGGAAAACTTCCTGAGAGAGCCAGACAGAAGCATACTGCCTTTTTAAAACCAAGCCTCAGAAGTCCTACAGTATCACTTCCGCTGCATTCGTTAGAAATTAGGAGGGCCAGTCCACACTCGAGAGAAATGAAGTTGATATTCTACCTCTTGATTGGGGAAACACCAAAGAATTTGTGGACGTGACTTAAAACTAGTTCACCCTCTGGCTTAAAGGTTATTAGATGGAATCAGACAAGAAAATAACTAACTAATGAAGGGCATTAGGCTAAGTGTGATGAAGGAAGTATTTATAAATTATTAATTATGGGGTGTGGTTCATAATAGGTTTTAGCACAATCAGAAGCAGCTTTCTCTAAGAAAGGACATTCTGAAAGGTCTTATAGAATGGCAGAATGTTCATAAGCAAACATATGAGGGAAAGATAATCTAGACATCCATTCCCTTGGATTGCTACAAAGGTCTTCTGAAGATATAGCAAATGATTTTGTTTAACTGGGGCTTAGGGTACATGGAAAACAATAGTGTATGTGGTTGAAAAGACAGAGTTTGGTTACAGTATTAAAGTACTGTATTTCAAATCTGAGGCGTTAAAAGCTCCTAGGCACACTCAGGTGAGGTTTACTAAGGGCCTTATTCTCCTCAGGTACAAATTAAGTGCCTAACTAAATCTGTAACCGTGTAGCCCCTACAACTTCTCCAAACTGACCTTCAACTTAGGTCCTACTCCCCCTCATTGGGCTTTGAGGTTTCCAGTCAATCTGCCTTTGGAGATAGAGGATCCTCAAGGTCCTTGACACATCTGTTCTCTCTGTTTAACCTCTATTGAGGCATCCCATGACTAATCAAGCAACCTACTTACTATAAGATAGCTTCACTGATCAGCTCCATCAAGATAAAAGGGTTTGCTATTTCTGATACTAGGAAATCCTAGACTAATATCTTATCAACCTTTGCTTTTATAACCTCTCTATAATCTTCTGGTGGTACACTATCAAATTTCTGGAGCCAGGAACCCTAATATTCATAATCACAATTTTGGTTCAGTCACCTACCCATGGTTTTCTCTTGGTCAAATCACTTAACCTCAAGCTTCCTCATCTACGAAGATAAGGATGAAAATCCCTTTCTGACAAGGCTGTTGTAAGCATTAAATGAGATACCTGTGCTTAGCATGACTGCTGGCACACAGTGAGTGTTCCAAAATACGAGATACCACTTTTACTAGCATAAGCTCATTACACAAAACCCTAATAAAAAGAACTATCAAAGGGCTGATGTGAAAAGCTTAATTGTTTTATTTTTATCATCATGTGTGGTTAACCTATGCCCCTGGCATTACATGACTCCACAGTTTCATTTTATACTCAATTATATTCTTCAGTTGCCCTCTTTTTAATTTATAATTTCAAGAGATATTGGTGGATAAGTAAACTTCTTTCACACAACATCTTAACAGAAGAAAATTAAACAGGGAAGAGGATATAGAACAATAGTAGATATAGCAAAGATAGAAAAATAGTGACAAAACTCAGTTTTGCCCAAAGTAAAACTTGCACTTACATGTCCGGTTGGTGGGAGTGTTAAGCTGGATAAAGCTTGAAATTTCAACAATAAGAGTATTAATGAAATTATAGTTATTTCAACAGTGGTATAATGCTATCATCAAAACTATGAAATACATCTGTATTTAACGACAAAGATATCTATGATATACTTGTTGAATGTGCAGACTGAAAGACAACACGTATGGTATGACACTATTTATGTAAAATTATGTTTGCACAGGTTGATAAGCGATATATTCACCAAATATTAACAGTGGTTTATACTGTAAGATCTGAGGTAGTGTATTACTTAAGTACTTACATATTTACTTTTGCAACTGTCTCAAAGATAGATTTTATTTTTTTATTCCAGCAGGTATTTTTAGATTGAAGTATAGTTAATTTACGATATTGTGTTAGTTTCTGGTGTACAGCAAAGTGATTCAGTTTATGTAAATATATAAAACTGTCTTCCATAGTAGCTGTACGAATTTACATTCCCCCCAACAGTGTAGGAGGGTCGCCTTTCCTCCACACCCTCTCCAGCATTTGTTATTTATAGACTTTTTAATGATGGCTATTCTGACTGGTGTGAGGTGATACCTCACTGTAGTTTGGATTTGCATTTCTGTCCTAATTAGGGAAGTTGAACATCTTTTCATGTGCCTATTGGCCATTTGTGTGTCTTCTTTGGAGGAATGTCTATTTAGGTCTTCTGCCCATTTTTTGATGGGACTGTGTTGGTTTTTTGTTTGGTTACTGAACTGTATGAGCTGTTTTTATATTTGGGGAATTAAGCCCTTGTCAGTTGCATCATTTGCAAATATTTTCTCCCAGTCTGTAGGTTGCCTTTTCGTTTTATGGTTTCTTTTGCTGTGCAAAGGAAGCCTGTAAGTTTGATTAGGTCCCATTTGTTCATTTTTGCTTTTATTTCTATTGCCTTGGGAGACTGACTTAAAACACTGCTACAATTTAGGTCAGAGAATGTTTTGCCTATGCTCTCTTCTAGGAGTGTTATGGCGTTATGTCTTCTATTCAAGTCTTTAAGCCATTTTGAGTTTATTTTTGTGTAGGGTATGAGGGAGACATCTAACTTCACTGATTTACATGCGGCTGTCCAGCTTTCCCAACACCACTTGAAGAGACTGTCTTTTCTCCATTGTATATTCTTGCCTCCTCTGTCGAAAATTAATTGACCTTAGGTGTGTGGGTTTGAGGCTCTCTATTCTGTTCCATTGATCCATATGTCTGTTTTTGTGCCAATACCATGCTGTTTTGATTACTTCAGCTGTGTAGTATTCAGCTTAAGTCTGGAGGGTTATGCCTCCACCTTTGTTCTTTTTCTTCAGGATTCCTTTGGCAATTCTGGGTCTTTTATGGCTCTGCATAAATTTCAGGATTTCTAGTTCTGTGAAAAATGACATGGGTAATTTGATAGGGATCACATTAAATCTGCAGAATGCTTTGGGTAGTAGGGCCATTTTAAAAATATTAAGTCTTCTAATTCAAGAGCGTGGGATATCTTCAAAGGAAGATTTTTTAAAAAGCTGTCCTGACTTGACTGTCAGCTAACAAATCAAATACCAGCAACCATCAACATGGTTTGAGGTCTCACCTTGCTAGACAAGGTAAAGTACAGTATAGTATTTATGAAAATACTATCAAACAAAAATTCATCAACTCTAATAGTGGAAGAGTGCCCAATCAAGGATCTTCCTACCATTTGGATTACATCATCATTTACTGTGTACAAAAATGTAAAGCTATGCTAATACTTACAAACTGGTATCACCTTATCTTTAGGTAAACTGCCATGGGAAACTTCCTACATTTCTAAGCCAAGTACACTTCCCAGCTTCAAAACATATTACAAACATATAGTGATCAGGACTGTGTGATACTGGCAAAAGGACAGACATAGATCAATGGAATAAAACTGAGTTGAGAAATTAATCCACACATTTATAGTCAACTGACTTTCAAAAAAGGAATATGGGGGAAAGAATAGTCTTTTCAATAAATAGTGCTGGAACTGGATACTTACACGCAAAAGAATGAACTTGGACCCCAATACCTAATGTAAGGGCTTAAATTATAAAATTCTTAGAAGAAAACATAGGTGTAAATCTTTCTAACTTTGGATTAGGCAATGGTTTCACAGATGACACCTAAACACAAGAAGCCAAGGAAAAAAATAGATAAAACTGTACTTCATCAAAATTAAAATCTTTTGTGTTACAAAAGTCACTTTATCAAAAATGTGAGAAGACAACCCAGAAAATTTTTAAATATTTGCAAATCATATATCTGATAAGGGTCTAAGAATCCAGAACATATTAAAAAGAATTCTTGAAACTCAACAATAAAAAGACAAATAATTTAAAGACGGGGAAAGGATCTGAAGACATTTCTCCAAAGATATACAAATGGCCAATAAGCACATGAAAAGATGCTGAACATAGTCATGGAAATGCAAATCAAAGCCACAATGAAATACCACCTCACGAAGTCACTAGGATGGCTATATTAAAAAAGATGAACAACATGTGTTGGCGAGGATGTGGAGAAATCGGAACCTTTATGCATTGCTGGTGGGAATGTAAATCGATGCAGCCATTTTGGAGAAAGTTTGGTAGTTTACAGAAAGTTAATCACAGAGTTGCACATATATATGACCCAGCAATTCTACTACTAGGTACATACCAAAGGTAATTGAAAACATACTTTTACAAAAAGACTTGTACACAAATGATCGCAGTAACACTATTTAAGATAGTAAAAAATGGAAACAACCCAATGTCCATCAAAAAATGTGGTATATCCATACAATGGAATATTATTCAACCATAAAAAGAAATGAAGTGCTACTATGTGTTACAGCATGGATAAACCTTGAGAACATCAGGCTAAGTGAAAGAAACCAAATACCAAAGAACACATATTCTATGATTCCATTTGATGAAATGTCCAGAATAGGTAGATGCATAGAGAGAGAAAGTAGTTTAGCAGTTACCAGGGGCAAGGGGGAAGGGGAAAATGGGGTGGGACTACGAATGGGCATGGGGTTTCCTTCTGGAGTAGTGTAAAGGTTCTGGAATTAGACAGTCGTGGTGGCTGCACAACCTTGTGAATATACCAAAAACACTGAATAGTACACTTCAAAATGGTGAATTTTATGGTATACAAATTACGTCTCAATTAAAAATTAAAAAAAAAAGAACGATGGCAAACTTCTTGCCTGAAGCTATGTAAGAGAGAAGATGATGAAGCAGTACCTTTAAAGTACAGAAGGAAAAAAAAATTACAATGTAGAATTCTATGCCCAGCAAAATTTCTTTTCAAAACTGAAGGTAGGGCTTCCCTGGTGGTACAGTGGTTGGGGGTCCGCCTGCCGATGCAGGGGACGCGGGTTTGTGCCCCGGCCCGGGGGGATCCCGCATGCCGCGGAGCAGCTGGGCTCGTGGGCCATGGCCGCTGGGCCTGCGCGTCCGGAGCCTGTGCTCTGCGGCGGGGGAGGCCACGGCAGTGAGAGGCCCGCGTACCGCAAAACAAAACAAAAAACAAAAACTGAAAGCAAGGATTTAAGACTATAAATCTACAATAATCAAGACAATGTAACATTGGCATAAGACATATAGTTCAATGGAACAAAACAGATCCCAGAAACAGATCCACACATATCATTTGATTTTCAACAAAATGCCAAGTTAATTTCAACAAAATGCCAAATTAATTCAACAGGGAAAAGAGAATCATTTCAACAAATGATCTAAATAAGCTAGAGAGTCATATGGATAAACATAAACCTCAATACTTACCTTCACACCATATACAACAATTATCTCGAATTGTATCACAGATCTCAATGTAAGAGCTATGGAGAAAGATCTCTGTATTAAGCAAGGATTTCTTAGGACACAAAAAGCATAAACAGGAAAAAAATAAGGAAACTGAACTTCATCAAAATTGAAAACTTTTGCTCTTTCAAAGACACTGTTAAGAAAATGAAAAGGCAAGCCACAGACTGAAAGTATTTGCACATCATATATCTGATTACAGATTTGTGTGCAGAACATATAAAGAACTCTTGCAACTCAATAATGAAATGATGCACAACCCAACTTAAAAATAAGCAGCCCTGTGAGACTTTAGGAATAACTGGGTAAGAAGTATGGCAAATCTCATCCCCACAAAATAATGATAAAATTTGACAAAACTATCAAAACTATCATTTCAAAACTGGAAACTGACCAAAGGCATGCAACATTTACTTAAGAAAACCTACTGAATCTTGTCAAAATCAGTGGGAGCCCAGCACTTCAGCCTGGAGCAGCTCCACCTCTCCCCAGAGAATCTCCCAAGTTGATGGCACTGTAATTCGACCAGAGTGGGCAGGCTGTATCTGCAGCCTTCCTGCTGGAGGGGTTAGACTGATTTGGAGCAAAATGTAAGAAAACTCATGCTCAGGGGTATTGTTGGGAAAAGTATCATCTTGGGGGCAACCAGAGAAGGCCAAACATTACAGCTAGCCTGAGGATGAGACACTACTTGTGCCAAGCAACGGGTGAACAGAACAGCAGAAACTTAACATGGTGATACGCGAATAAGATAACAGTGAGCCTCCAACATATCCTCAGGCTGGGATGGGATGACGACTGCATGCATATAGCCCAACAATTCTACTTCTAGGTACTTACCTAAGACAAATGAAAAATATATATCCACACAAAGACTTGAAGGCGAATGTTTCTAACAGCATTATTCATAACAAAAAAGAGTGGGAACAATCCAAATTTTATCAATCAGTAAATGAACAAATGTGGTATATATCAATACGTACAACAGAATACTATTCAGCAAAACTAGGTAAAGAATTATTAATACATGCTAAACATGTGTGAACCTCAGAAACACGTTAGGTGAAAAAAGCTAGATGCAAAAGACCATATTTTGTATTATTCTCTTTATATGAAAAATCCAGAAAAGGGAAATTATGGAGACAGAATATAGACTAGTGGTTGCCTAAGTGCTCAGAAGGGGGAAATGAGGAGTGATTGTTAATGGGTATAAAGTTTCTTTATGGTGATAAAAATATTATAGAATTAGACAAGTTGAGGATTGCACAACTTTGTAAATATACTAAAAGCCATGGAATTGTGCACTTTAAATGGTTGGATTTTATGGTTATGTAAATTATACCTCAACAAAACTGTTAAAAGTAATAGGATAAATATTTGAACAGACCTTTCACTAAAAAAATGTGAGTGGCAAATGAGCACATAAAAAGATGCTTAACGTTATTAGTGGTTAGGTCAATTCAAACTGAACCAGAAGATACCACAACATACCCACTAGAATGGTCAAAATTGAAAAGACAGTGATGTGGCAAAATCCTCATGCATTGCTGGTGGAAATGT